TTTTTATTTTTTTAATCTTTATATTTTACTTAGGGTTTTTTTTCTGAGTTTATCTTATTTAAAACAAACTAAAAACTTTCCCAGACTTTGTCAGTGATGCCATTGAAACTAAGGGCAATAAAACTCCCATTTATTAGTGTACTTAGGATTTTAATCTTTTCAAAGCATTCATTTTTCTAACGTCGGGAAAATTTTTAGAGAGACCGGACGAGATACTTAATGTTTTTCTCGTTAAATGTTTCCCGAATTTTATGCTTTGAAATAAAATTCGAAGAAACCATAAAAAAAAAAATGTATTTTAAAAAAAAGACATTAAAATAAAAGAAACTATCGTTGTAAGCCACGACGTAACAGTTAGACATTTAAAAAAAAAATATTTTTTTTACTCTCCGCAGAAAAAAGGGATTATTTTGTGTAATTAAATATACTAAGAGTAATTTCGAAAAAAAACAAAAATCCAAAAGAATTTAGTCCTGCATCATTTCTTTTGATCCTGCCGAAGAATTCATTTATCATTAATTCTATCATCACAACAAATTCCAATAAAATTTTTTGATTAAATTTGACATGGGTAGTATCCTCAAGTGATGTGTTTTGAGTAATTAAAATAATATCTTCGAGCATATTAATTTGTCATTTTTATTTTTCAACCCAGAAAATTTTTTTCTGATAACAAAAATACTTTCAAACATCTGAAAGAAAAAGGAAAAAATACGATAACGTATAACGAAATTTCAAAATCGTGTTAGCTGACAGCCGTTGAACATCATACGAGCATTTTTCGAATTTTCAGACAATACGTTAATGATATGAACGTTAATGAGCTAAGGTATTACTATATATGAGTCCCATGATTGCTATATATAAGGTACGTGACAACAATGACCTTCAGTTGGCTGTCAAAAGTACTTGCGAGAGCGCAAAAAGAGCCACTAAACACAGTGTCAGTTTATGGTCAGTTATTGTCACAGACTGGTGCAAGATGTTCGCGCTTAAATTTATTTTTATTTGGCTGCTAGTTAATAAATTGTCGTTAGTTTATTCTGCGGAGGTAAATTTTAATTTATTTTATTGATCAATTTAATTTTTTTGAAATTAGTTTTTTATTTTGCTATTTCAAATTTTCAGTTAAAATTCGAGAGCTCAGAATGCGACGGACCGAAAATAAAAGGTAAAATTTTGTTATAGTATTTTGACGTTTATTAATACACTGAAAAAAATTTTCTGAAATTTTTTTATCAAAAATAAAAACAAGTTATAGCATTTTTAAGAAATGGGCTCTTTTTAATTGAGTTAAAAATTATTAAAAAAAAAAAAAAAAATTTTGTAAAAACAATCTTTGTAATTTTTGTTAACTTTAACAATTTTCGTGACTTAAAATAATATTTATAATAATAATAATTATCATAAACAAAATTAAACTCTCTTGTTTAAAAAAATGTTTGTTACAATTAACTAACACTGCCATATAAAGTTTTTGGGGGTTATTTGTAATATTATTTAACAAAATATTCGACTTTTTGCAGGTGCAGATTGTGAGCGAGGTGAAATTAGATTTTCATCGCGGCATAAGCGATCTACAACTAATGAGATTCCGGCGTTCGTCAAAGCTTTTGGAAAAGAAATCTATTTGTCGTTAACAGAAAGAGAAAGTGCATTTTTTAGTCCAGCTACGCCAGTTTACAGGATTTTCAGAGCTGCTGGTGGAACATACAGGGTAGATGGTAATAATGTAAGTAAAAATTTGCGATGTTCAGTTTTTGTGTGATGATTATTACTAAGGCTAAAAATTGTATTTTTTCAATTAATTTTTATTTTTTTTTTTACATTTTTAAGTAGATTTGGAAAAAAATTTTGTTATTTTCTATTTACTTAAGTCGATTATTTGGTAATTATTTACAAGTTGCGTCAACCTCATTTTATTTCTTCGATTCTGCTTGTTTTTACGGCGCATTTATGATAAAAAATGTTGTGAAAGAAAAAATTAAAGTTTTCGGTTGCTATTTTGCCTTCAAATGTTGGAAAAAATTTTGGCTGATGTTTTTGAGCAAAATTTCTTTTTTTTTTTTTTTTTTTTTGAAAAGTACATAAAAAATTGAGCAATTTAAAGAAAAAAAGTTGAATATCACAATTTTCTAAAAAAGTTATAAATTTTTATGAAAATTTTAAAAATTTGTTAAAATTGTGATAATCAACTTTTTTTTTTTTAATTATTCATTTTTTATGTATTTTTCAACAAAAAGATATATCAATAAAATCAAATAGAAATTTCGTTCAAAAAAATTAAAATTAAAATAGTTGATCCGACATGTAATTATTTACCGATTTTTTTATTTACCTTTTGCAAAATTAGGAAAAAAATTACTTTTGATAAAACGTATTTTTAAATTACCGTTAGCTATATAAATAATCTAATAAATTTTATTTAGGACATGAGCTTATACGCAAAAGCAAAAATTTTCGAAGATATCAATCATTCTGCATCAGTGACTGTCGACGTACATCCTGATGGAAATGAATATGTCAAGGTAAGACAGCCACTGTGTCAACAATTTCAATTTAAAATATCAAAATATAGTTGTATGCACCGATACCATCAAAAAATCTATATTTTTAGGAAGGATACATTGGTTCAGCAAACTTATACTTCATGTGGGACCCACAGAACCAGAAATATAATTTCCACCAATTCTCGGATAAAGTTAATGATCAGTATTATGAAGTGAATCACAAATCCCCAGAAGCACGTGCCTACAACTCGCCCACGTATCTTTATTACCGTAAGTATGACACTGGAATGACAGCTTTTATTGAAAATAACAAATTAGTAAATAATCAATGATGGACTTTTTTTTAACAGCGTATAGTAATTATTACCAGTTAGTGCCGCAAGAGTCCACAATTCCGGAAATTATTTATCCGGAAATACTAGTCGTCGTCGATTATGAAATGTTGAACGAAATTCATGAAGATCATATATTGATGTACGTAATACACCGATGGAATCTAGTTGATATGGTGTACCGCGGATTGCGCAGCCCTGCCATCAAATTTAGTATCGCGGGAATCATTTTACCAATGGTATTTATTTTTATTTTTTATAAATATGTTTTTCGAGATGAAAAAATTAACTTTTTAGGAATTACTATTTTTTTTTTTTTTTAATTACTAATAGAGTCCAGATTCACTCCAATATTTTTCTGATGGTTCATATTACACAAACAACAGAAAGAATATCGACATGAACACTTCACTGAATTCTTTCAAGCGATGGTTGTTCCTCCACAATCATATTATTCCTATCAACAGCTACGATCTGGCCGTAACAATGTTATCGTAAGAATCTTAAGAATATCATAATCGCTTACTCCCATTGATATTCCTTTTTTTTTATTTTATCAAAATTAGTAATTGATAACCGTAATCAGCTTCAGTATTTTTAAAAGACCCTTAAGCTAGAGTCAGAGTATCTAATATGTTTCTGTTATCAGAAAAAGACCGGAACCTAACTCTAATCAAGGATGGTCGATATTTAATCCTCAACGCGGTGCAGCATATCCAGGCTCTGCCTGTGAAATCGATTATTATCGCCAAGAAGTAGTCAAAGCCGCTATTGTAATGGATGCTGGAGTCTACGTAGATATAATTGCAGCAGCTCATGAAGTTGCCCACTCGTAAATATTTTTCACTTTTTTTATATTATATTAGGCATAGAATTATAAACCAGGCTATAAAATTTAAAAACTTTGTTGTTTTAACATGATTATTAGTGTCAAAAAAAATTTTCTGTTTAAAAAAAAATTTATTTCATTTTTTAGACTTGGAGCTGATCATACTGATGGAATATGCAATGGTCCACCAAATTATATCATGGAAAAAGTGATCAAGCATTCATCGAGGGTGGTAGAATGGTCACAGTGTACAGTTGAAGCATTTCAAAATTTTTTGAGGTAAACTTTTTTTCTCCCTAGGAAAAACAATTTGATCAGAAAAATTACATGAAAAACAAATTGTAGGAAAAATTACAATTGCTACATCGTAATCTACCAATAGTCAGTATCATCACTTTTATAATTTTATATTTAAAATTTATGAAAGTGAAGGTTCTGAAACTTTGGGAATTGTCATTAATTGTAATATTTTTCTGTTTTCTATGACTAAACATTTTTTTTTTGTTACAGAAAAAATCCAACATGTCTGTACAATAAACCGAAATTCTAAATACTTACAATAGATTTATAATTCATAAGTACTCAATAAGAAGTGTTAAGTAATCAATCTCCGAGAAGCAACGGTTAAGCCGGTTGAGAAAAAATTTGAATCTTTGTTGATGTATTATGTTCTTATATACGATTGTAATCAAGCATATTTATGTATTTATTTATTGTAACCAATATATTATATTTTTATAAATAAAAAACACCATATAACATAACATACTACGTGACAATTGTAATTTTTTTCCATATAGTTGTTGAAAATGATTGTAAAGATTATTTATTAATTAAAAAATATCTAAAGTTCCTGAATATATCATTAATCAGATGCGCAGCGATTGTTAACATTTCATATTTCTATGTAATAGCTGCTAAACAAATTCGCCAAAGGTTTTATCGTTAGTAGATAACTTTTTATTGAATCTTCATGTTTGAAACACTGATTAAAATTAAAAATATATCATTATTCTAATGATATAAATTATTTTTAAAGAACAAAAATATAATTAATTAAGAAAAAAAAATGTAGCTCAATCACGGTTTCAACCACGTGGCTTTCGGTATTTTATTGTAAAAACAAATTATTTTTGATAGTATATAATAGTTCATAATAAAAATAATTATTTATAACAAATGTTTATTAACAAAAATAATCTAATCATTGTTTACGAGAATTATTTGTTTACAAAAAAATATTTTTCCCCGTGTTGAGTGGTGAGAGCATTATTCTCCTCGATTTAAAGGCGGAATTCGGTTTCTCTCGGCTCTTTTCGGTTTTCCGACACACCGACATGCTCGCTAACGTTACCGCGCCGTGCACGTGGTATTAAAGAGGGAGTAATATTACCCACGATCTAGTAGCACTGTCTATTTTTATCCAGTGAGCCAACTGGATAAGAAAAAAAAATGATATGCAATTGAAAATGAGGAAAAGGTTTCATCAATACAGATTTAGACTTTCAAACTCAAACGGCTTGAAAATGTATGTAAAAAAATTGCTTACTTTAAAAATTTTCAAGCGCTCTGAGTTTGTACATTCGAAATATTCCAAGGGTAATCTGCAGAGCGCAATTTAGATTTCTATAGTTATTTATTGAATATATTTGAAATAGTTCGTGAAAAAGGAAAAAAAATCGCTCGAACAGGGACTTGAACCCTGGACCCTCAGATTAAAAGTCTGATGCTCTACTTTTTTTTTTTTTTTTAAAGAAGTTTATTTGCTTAGATAAAATACATTTTCTTGTTAATACATTATAGGCTGCATTACTTAACTTAAAAAAAAAGCCTTAAAAATCTTAGATATAACTTATATCAATAGTTTAGACCGCAAGTCTCCTTGATTGGAGCGGCTGGGGTCTATCCGTTTTTCCTAATTAAATAATTATTGTTTATTTGTTCTCTAATCACTTGAAAATAAATATTGTTGTTTATAAATATTCTGATTTCTTTTATAATAAGACTCAAGTGGAAAGTCATCTTCCAAAACCACTTATATAACTCGTTTCATGCTTTTGCCCTTACAAACTAAATAAATAATATACAAACTAAAACTAAATTATGTACAAATATTTACAGTTCTTAATCTAAAAATTACACTGCACTATTCTGGGTGCAGCCTTCTTCTTAGCTCTTTACGATGCTTTGATTCATTGGTGAGCCACCAATATTTTTCGTTCAGCCTGTGATCGTCCATTTTATCTCTCGTCGGGAGAGCTCTTGAATAGGAAAAGTTAAACCATTTGAGTATTGGGTCATCTACAGCATAATCAATCCTTTTATGTGCTTTGTGTCTTTTAGTCTGATGCTCTACCGACTGAGCTATCCGAGCCTGAATGGATGTAATTAGTGGGTTTAATATGAGCATAACCTCCCAATCAGGAGAAATATGCCATAAAATCTACATTTATTGAGCTCTTAACACTCCTAAAATCAAGATGTTGTGATAGTAAGACACTTTTTTGCATATATTTATATATATTTTCATGCCTATGATATATTCGACCAATCACATCACGAATAAATTGACCATATACATCCATCTCAATTTTATTTTAGGATTTTTAGTGAATATATTTGAAGTAGTTTGCGAAAAAGGAAAAAAAAATCGCTCGAACAGGGACTTGAACCCTGGACCCTCAGATTAAAAGTCTGATGCTCTACCGACTTTTTTTTTTTTTTTGATTTTAAAGAAGGAATTTATTTTTGTTCTCTTTCAATATACATAAATAAGTAATAATATCCTTAGAATAACTTAAACTGTAATACAAGATAGTTTTTGATTTGTCGACAATGCCGCTCTTATCAAAATACATTTACTGAAAATTAAATATAATTTCTATATGTTTTATCAGTCTATAAACATCTTAGCTTTCGCTTTCAATCTTTTATTTATTTATTGCTATGGTAAAAAAATTAAAAATTAACTTTAAAAAAACCATTGTATAAATTACTTGCCTTTTTGGCTTATAAATAATGGGGGTGGATGTGAGAGGGATATAGGGAGGGAGGGATATGACTATATACAATTATATACATTTTTATTGCTTATAGCTAGATCTTTAATTTCGTGGAGGTTGTCCACGATTGACGAGATTTCTTTCTCTTCGGCGTTGGTGGTATTCCTCCTTCTTGAGGGCCATTGAGTGGGTCCAGGTCGCGGCTGTGATGTTATCCAGGTCCATGTAGATGGCTTTTCTCGCAGTCTTATCTTCTTTTGTTTGTGTTTAATGAATTTACCTTAATTGCACAAAATTTAATTGTGCTTATTGAGGGGTTTTTGTACTCCTATCAGTTTCTTGGGTTTGGTGATGTACTGAGAATATAATTATTCATAATCGAACTGTGCCATCAAAAACTCAATGTTTTTTGAGTTCTCTGTTATTTTATTGGAGATTTCCTGGAGCTGTATTTGTAGTATGCTCATGAAGCTGTTTTTAAATTGGTTTATCATATTTTCTACGAAAGAGAAAATATTAGGATTATTGTCGCTTGGTGGGGGGTTAGCTTGGCTTGGGGCTGTCGCTGGTCTGAAGTGATCCTCTAGTGGGCTTCTGGAGTTATTCTGCCTTGGCAGGGGAGGGAATTGTTTATTGTTGGCTATGTCCGCAAATGATTGTTCAGGATTAATTGCTTTATTTTGTTCATTTTGATTTGTTTTAGTTGTTTCCTTAGCTGGATCGTCCGGTTTTTGACATCTTGGGCTAATATTAGGTACCCGCATCCTCGGTAAGATGCGGTATGTCCGTTCTCCCCGCAATTGGCGCACTTGAGAAGCGATTTATCACTGTTTTCGGTGATCTCGCATTTGTCTCCTTCCTTGATAGGACCGTGATTATTGCCGCACTTTACACATTTGAATTCGAGTGTACAGTTACTGCTTGAGTGTCCTATTTGCTAACATCTCTTGCATTGGAAGATACGCTTTTTCCTGAGTTTTTCCCAGTGGATGGGTTGATTTAACATCCTGTTTAGCCTCGTGAGCTCTGCTGGTTTGCTGTTGCTGGTCAGTTGGATAAGAAAGAAGAGATTGTCTTCATCTTTACTGTATTTTATTTTTGACACTTTTTCAATTTTTACATTTGTAAAATTTTTGTTATTTATGTACGTGGTGATATCCGTCTCGTCGTATTCGGATTTAATACCTTTAAGTACAAGGGGATTTTTTTGTCTTCCTTTGGAGTGTAAGTGAAAAATTTAGTTTCATTTTTTGTAAGCCATTCTTTTATTATTCGGTAAGTCTCAATGTTGATCGAGCTTACCGCGATATATTCCTTACCGGAGTGTCTTATCCAGAAGTCTCCTTCCGGGATGTTTCCTGCCAAAATTAATTTAACGAGGTCTTTCATTTTTGTAGTGTATAAATGTATCGGTGGTGGTCTCGATTTGGGTTTCAGTACACTACTTGAGTTATTTTTTTGACCTGAGGGAGAGGAAGGTCTTCCGTTATTTATTTGTGTTGTTACCTGCGTTTTTGGGCGGTGTGTTTGTGTGTCCATGTTAGTGTTGTCGATTACTTCGTCTTCACTTGAAAGTGCTTCGTAATTGTTAGATGTGGCAATGCCTGCCATTTCCTGATTATCTATACTACGTTGCTTGGGTCTTGCTATCTTTCTGAGAGGGGTGACGAACCCGTCTTTGTCCATTAGTAGTACTTTGTTACCTGAGGTATCTTCTGAAGTGCGTTCAGTTGAACTATCTCGTGACCTCGAGGCTTTTATATTCGGTGTTGGTGATTTCGCCTTTACGTTCTTGAAAAATTCTGGGAATTTAGACGCGTTCGTTATTTTTTGAATTTCTTTTAATTGTTTGTTAATTTTTGCTGTAGCTAATTCTTCCGTGGATTTTTTATCCATGTTTTGTTTTAAATTACTCATTTTGACCATGAGAATTTTTTTTAATTTTGGGGGTCAGCTGTGGTTGTAGGACACGTGCCCTATCCACGCTGTAATTATTTTCACTCACTAGTTCCGCTGTTTTTTTATATTATTTATGTGAATTTGTTCTGAAAAACTACACATTGCACTAGCACTGTATATTTTAATTGATAATACTGTTTTTCGCATAAATATTACACTGAATTTACTTAAAGAAAAATTAAAATTTGCACTCCATCGAGTAAACCGATGTGCACACGTTCAAGTCTAGAACGGAACTGGATGCTCTACCGAATGAGCTATCCGAGCCTGAATGCGTGTAATTGGTGTGTCTAATATGAGCATAACCTCCCAAACAAGGGAAATATGCCATAAAATCTACTTTTATTGAGCTCTAGGATAGGCAAAGACTCTAAAACAATACAAGACAAACTACAAAAAACTTTTGACTTAATACAAATGTACAGCAACAACTGGAGACTGAAAATTAATGACCTGAAATGCGAAACTATCCTCTTCCGCCCAAAATTAGAAACAGCCACGAGAGAAGTAAGGAGAAACTGGAAAAACTTTTCAATAAAATCAAATAACGTCACTATACCACATAAAGATTCGGTTCGTTACCTAGGGGTGCAAATAGATCAACACCTCAGATTTAACGAACACATCAAATTACAACTAGAAAAATCACGCAAAGCATTTTTCAAATTAAATAGATTATTCTATAGCAAACACTTGAATGAACGAGTAAAAATTATTTGTTACCAATCTCTAATTAGACCCCTAATAACATATGGAGCACCCATCTGGTTTAACCAAAATGCAACAACATTAGAAAAAATTAGATTATTCGAGCGTAAATGCTTACGATCATGCTTAAAAATGTATCGTTCCGAAATAACTAATTATCAACATTACATTAATAATCAAACCTTATACAATAAAGCAAATATTCCGCGAATAGACTCACACATACTACAACTAATACGAAACCACTGGGCTAATACATCAAAAATATCAACTAATTCAAATATTAATAAATTTTTATCGCCAAATAAAAATTACATAGAAAAAGCATTAAAAATTGGGTATATCCCTCCAGAAGGTTTCTTCTACCTGGACCGGAACAACTACCTACAAGACCTTATCAAAATTTGATAAAACACGATTTTTTTAATTTTCAAACTGCTATAACTTTTGAATGAATTAATCGATTTTCACGCGGTTGGCGGCAATCGACGCAGTTTCTGAAGCTTCATGAAAAATTTTCAAGTTTAAATCGATCGAGCCATGAATTTCGAAGTTATAACAAAAAAACACTTTTTTCGATTTTTTTCGACAACGATATCTCACGAACGCATCAACCGATTCTGACGTTTTTGGTGGCGATCCATGGGGGTTTTCAAGGTTAAGAGCTGATTAGTTTTTAAGACCGATCGGTTCAGCCAATTCGGAGATATTTAAAAAAAATGAAAAAAAAAACAACTTTTTTTTTCACTTTTTTTGGATTTTCTCGGAATTTACCGGTCCAAATTGGTTCCAACTCTCAGGAAATCTAAGTTTGGCGAAGCCCTTTCGAATGACACCAACCGCGATGAAATCGGTCAAGTCCCCGTGTAAAAATGATATGATATCATTATGAGGCTCATAATGAATATCATAATGAATCTCATATTTTGGCACTAATATGAAATTCATATAAGAGCCATATCAATACTTTGGAAACCCGTAATAAGTAAAATACCTGTGGGAACGAATTTTTTTTCAGTAGATCAGTAAAAATTTCATTTTTTCTGTTAATCAGAGGAAATGTATAATAATTGAGAAAAACAGTATTTTTATCATGCACTATATTGTTGAACTACTTAAATTTTTTCCTTGTCTTTCTTAACTTAGAAGAATATTTAGAAAAACACTATCTTGGTTTAAAAAAAATTTTTGACTGAAAAGATTTTTTCGTCTCAAGATAATTATTTTCTTATTTTGAAAACAATTTAAATCCTCCTAAAAATTTCTTTAATTTAATTATTTTGCAATATTTCCTGTATACAGTTATCACTCAATAATTTTATATCACGATTTAAAAAGACTAACAATATCATTATGATATCATTATGATTTTATAAAGATATGACCATCATTTAATTATTAATTCATTTTAATATCATTATGATTTCATAATGAAATTATATCAATATCATCATGGAGATACTGTCCTAATGAATTTCCAACAGTTACAAAAAAGTTTTTTTCTTGAATTATGAATAGAAGGCAACAATATCATTACAATATTATGATGAATTTAAAAAAATATCAGCCTGATTCCATCATAAGTTTACGCAGTTACTATTATGACTTCAGTATGAAATTATGCGTTTGTCACTATGGATTTGTCACGAATCTCCATAAGACCGATCCGTGTGGATCAAATTTTATATTTAATAATAATTTTAAATTACTGGAAATTTGCTTTCTCCAACAAGAAAAATAAAAATTTTATAATCTAGTTAAAAAAATTCGTTTCCATAAGTATTTTACTTAATACAGGTTTCAAATATATTAATATGGCTTTTATATGAATCTCATATTAGTGCCAAAATATGAGATTCATTATGATATTCATTATGAGCCTCATAATGATATCATATCATTTTTACTCGGGTATCGAAACTAAAAAATAGAAAATAATTTTGAAATAAAAATAAAGTAATTTTGATGAAAATAATTTATACTATTTTGCAAAACCAGTGAGGTGCTTAATAACTATTATTGTAAAAGTTTTATTGGTAGATATTAGCAGGTTTTCAGATTTTTAATTGACAAAAATAAAATAAAATAAAGATTATAATTTTAATTTTGTTTTTTTTTTTTTTTTTTTTTAAGGAAAAATATAGCCAGG